GCTCGAGAAACCTAACAAATATGAAATGTGTGTGTAAGCATCACATGCTATTTCTTAGAAGACTACTTGTCAACAGCGTTATCAGATCCAACTGAGTCCAGATTTTCTTTCCTGGAGTTATAACTCTGTATTATTATTTTCTTATCATTGTATATACAGCTCCACTGCCATTATACTAAAGTTGTTATCATCTGAATAGGATCATGTAGTCTTTACTGCTTTTGATTTAATACTATATTTTCATTCTTTATCAAATAATCTAAATGGATATTCATAAACAGTAAGAGACTGTGTTTGGTGTGAAAAGAAATTTAAACAGAAACAGGAATACAAGCAAATCACTTAGATTTGCAGGAAAGAGAAGGTAAAATGGTTGGAGAGTAACAGAAGCTTCATTTCAAATCTCACTTCTGTTGGAATCCGCGTATCATTGCAAACTAAGCAGCCATTAGTTGCGAGCCTTAAATACAGAAAGAAAACCACCTAAGGGTCATTTTCTGCAGTGGAGTTTACACAGTAACACTTGTAGTAATACCTCTTGGAAGTAATAATAGAGAGGAAATTCAGTGAGGAGCTTTCTGTTACTGATGTGCTTTGCACAAAAATTGCTTAGATGTCTTCTCTATTCTTCTTGCAAGACCCAACAGCCAGAGGTCTCTGCTATGAGCAGTGCAGATCTATAGTTTGGCTCTTTTAGCTATCATCACCACTGCAGAATTGCTTGGTGCTGGAGGTCCAAGCAACAGTGCAACCGCAATAAAATAGATCTCACTAGCACTTACTGAGCAACTCAGAACTGTAAAAAGCTCTTTCAGATCGCTGCACTACCGTAGATTTTTATCCGCATATGACAGAAATACCTGACAAACGATATGGCCTTTTAGGCGTGACGTCTGCACACCAAACACAAATTTTGCCAGCCTTTGGAACAAACTGTTTTGCAACCCATAGTGTTGCATTCGTGTCACAAAGAATCAAGCGTCTTCCCTTCCGAAACTGAAAGCTCATCTCAGGAGAACCACAAGAGTGAGAGTGGAAGGATAAACAGACTACAGGAGATGTTAGAGAAATCATAGAAAACACACATTTTTCTTGCCAAGTATTTTCTGAAATGTGGGTATAAAAAGATATAAGTAGCATGTAACAATGAGTTTGTATGGTCCCAGAGAGTAGACAATAACAATTAAGAAAATTATTACAAATGCTGCAAACTGAAGGTACTGGCTATGGTGGTAATATACGGGGACTAAACCAGAAACCTGCACAACAGAAAACTTCCTGTTTTTTTCCAGAGACAGCAAATTTACTTGATCCCTTCAGTGAATATTCTTACAAGTACATGACATACACCATGCAAATGCCCTCTAAGGAATGGAATGGGCAAGTAGTTGGATGGATGATGTACATAGCATATTAAAAATATTATTGCTAGGAAAATGTAAAGCAGCTCATGAAAAAAACAACTTATTAAGGTTAGTTCTTTTACGATCAAGGGAGTGTCTTTATCAAAGTTTAAACTTTTCAGAAAATCTCTAGGGCAAAGCAAGCATTTGAAAACAGACAGTGGAATGAGATGGGATTAATGGTTAAAACACCTGTTCTTTTGGGATTAATGGTATTAACACCCTGTCATATCATAGAGATAGCAACAGTATAACACCATTATTCAACTGCTTTTAGCCTTTAAGATGTAAAGAAAAATACATATATCTAACCCTGCAAAACCACTGGCACTATAGTCTTTGCGACAATGCAGTCTGTGGTCTTGCTCATATACTGAGAGACATCTTTTGTTCAGTCACCTGAAAGAAAGCCCTCGTATGGTTCAGGCAACAGAACCTGCACGAAACTAGATGCTGAGGCTTTAATGACATCCAAAGGTACTATACCAGTGTACGGATTTTATTTAACACAAAAATAATAAAATGACCCTGAGAGTGACATGGCTGCCATTTTCACAATGAGCAAGAATGTAGACATTTCACACAGATAGTCACTTTTCATGAATTTCAAATTGGAAAATTAACTTTGACCTTTGGGGTTCAGGTCAGCAAAAGCTCAGTAGACTTTTGAAAGTTTTTTAGGTATCTTTTGAACTAGAATTTTTGATAGCATGCCTTTAAAAGCTACAATATGGGGAAAATGTGCAAGAAAATGAATTTAAAATTTGAATTTTTTATCAGAGCTCAATGATTCCACCCCCCAATTAGTCACCTTCTCCATAAAATTGTCATGTGGGGAATGACACTGCCAAGTTTGCAGAATAAGATAGCTAGTATAAACTGAAGTTACAGTTCCACTCAACTCACTTTACTAAAGAAACTGGCTAAAGAAATTTGAGTGCAACTGCAGGTTCTGACAGCACAGCCAAATGAACAAATGCTAGATTTCATACCAATACTCTCCCCTCCTTCCAAGTTAAGACACCCCCAAACCAGAATTTGCTTTGCTTCTGAACAAGCCAATTAAGGAGACGGCTTTGAATTTCAAACATACTTATTAAAATGCAGAGTTGTGCATCATGGGGTTGAGGGAAGGAAGTGAATAGGTATCGGAATTACTTGTCTGAGATACTGTAACTAATGATTTAGCAGAGCATGCTTGTCAAATATTGGATTATATGTATTCAGCCACTTGGTTTAAAAGAACATGGCTAATAATACCCTCCATGCATTCTTATTCATGTGATTTGTACAACAAATACATGCTTTGCCTCTTTGTTTCCTTTCATTTATTTACTTAGAACAATAAAGATGCTAATTATGTTCATATATGCTGGTTGGTAGCACTGCAATTAATTTCTAGACTAAAGCAACTGAATCCAGACTTGTTCAGACAACAGAACTAATCTATGTCTTCTGGAGGTCATGTGTATAATTGTATCTCTTTCAAAAATGAGATGAAATGTAGCATTTGCCATCTATGTCTGAAAGCTGCTGGACAGTACATGAATTCACTGCAGAAAGACCTTGAGGAATTTCAAGCTATTTTGCTGCTCACATCACAGGCTTTTGACAAGATTGATTTCCCTTTGCATTTGTGAAGGAACTCCACCTGCTCACACAGTTCTCTCTTCAACAGTATGCATATAAGTTTTATACCTATAGCCTATGAGCATATGGCAGATAAGATGTTTTGTGTGGTGTCTAATCATTATCACTTTCCTAAAATATCAGTAGTTCTCCCTTCTATATTTGTTAAGTAATCTGAGACTACAAATTAAATCCTGTGTCTCATAGCAGGCAAACAACTTCACAAATATTTGAACTTCTTTTAAATCGCACTTGAACAATGTCTGATTTTTGAACGAAATTTCTTAAAGATTTCTGGATGGTTTATGTTATTAGGTTCAGAGATGTCCTATGAAATTAATAGGATACAATCGATACGCTGCTATTCATTCTATAATTTAATTACGTAATTTTGTTTATAGTGATAGTTGGCTTGATATTTTATGACCATCGAGGCAGTTTGTTTTACTACTTTGGTAAAAGCTATTGGATTTTATAAAAGCATCAAGACAGTAATAATCATTGAATGCTGTAATTTAGGGAGGAATAAACCAGCACATTTTGTGTTGCCCTCATGTTCATTAATAGGAATTAAATGACAGGATAATCACAGCATCCTTCCTGTGGACATGTCTAATCTAAAGTTCTGATCCAAATAGCCTTTACATGAAGACTTACAAGTTCAGGCTTAGTGCTGACTAGCATCTGTCATTGCCCTTTTCACCTGTATTTAACAAACTTTAGATGACCTTGACTCTATTATTCAAGACAGGTGTAAGTTTAAAGCAAATTTGTGTTTCACACTCCAAAGTGGTGTTGATATGTTCATCACTGTCTTTTAAAGGCTGTGGAACAACAGCTGCTGTTTTATTTCTCTGCACAGAGGCCATTGTTTCCACAACTAGAAAGGTCATAGTCATCATTTCCCGTGACAGGAAAATGTGAACGCAATGAACACATGAATGCATGGCATGAAATTTAATCATCTTTATTGCAGAAAAAATTGGATTGAAACTCAAATACTCATCCACATGTTTAGTTAATAATGAGGTGCTTCTAGGTAATAGTAAAAACCCTAACAAAAACAACCACAAGCAAAGATAACATGGGACATCACTTAAAAATGGATCTAGGAGAAATTACAAAGTTACTTACCATTTTGTTCTCTCTGGACTCCAGCAGCAAGCAAATCTGGTTCCCCAAGACTTATATCATTGAGCCTGGTTCCTAGACACTCCATGCAAAGATGTTTGCACCATTCCTCTGCCTCTAGTTCTGGGAAAACAGAAAAAAAAGGTTACTGTTAACATTTTACTCAAAAATGGGTGAAGTTAAATCAATACCTTCTTACTGACCAGCTTTACAACAATATGCTTGTTTTGAAATACGAGTTATTAGCACAGATTTCCACACCTATTTCTTTGCTTTGATTCATAAACTTCTAAAAGGGTTTTCGCTATTAGGATTGTATCTTCCATTTTCAAATTTGGGAATAGGAGGTGGGGTTAACAAAAAAGAGAAAGGCGTAGTGAGTTTTCGAGGCAGTATATTTCTAGTAGGCCTTCTTCAAAGAAAAAATGCAATTTAGAAAAACATATAATATCTGAAATATTCTTTACTGCTCTTTAGGCGAATCTGAACTATTAAAGGTTCTGGAGTATTTTTCTAGGAGCGAAGGAAAAAACCAGTAATAAAATATCTTCAAATGCAAAACTTCCTTCTCTGTTGTACTGAATGCCTATGCCTGCCAAGTTAGTCTGAATAATGAATTTCTTCAGTTCTGTTCACCTTCTTTTGGTCTCAGAGCAATTTGGACATTAGTTGGAATGTTTGTATGAAAATTCAAAACCTTCCAGTCCTTTCTGAGGACTCCGTTGTATCCCATTGATGGACATCTGAGACCTCCCTATCTGTCAGTCTACCAAGACACAAACTCCCCAAGGCATAACCTCCCGAGACACCACAACAGCCTCTCCTCCACACCCGCCCTCATCCTATCCACTTCCCAAACTTAACATCACAAAATCTCTCGCATTGGTCAAACAAACAACATCTCAAGTTGGTGTTCACACAATGTGAAACCACAACTAATAAAAATCATGCAACTAGGCTGACTGTCTTTTATTACAGGATAGGCTTCACTAAGGGAAACTTTCTGGAGAGCAGGCTTGGCACTAAGCACAGAGTACCCATTGTCACAGTCAGTCTACATCTGATTGATTGTCTTTAGGAGTGGGTGACTCCAGTCATCTAGAACTGTCTCTATTAAACAGTTTTTTCATTCCTATTTTTGGGGACATCTGGAAAATACTTCTGTGACAGTCTCTCCAATGAAGTGCTGAAATTTGGAGACACAGAAAAATACTGCAGGCAAGCCCTGCAGCATCTAGTGATGATGACTCATTCTAAATAGTGAAAATTTATATCCATGAAAAATATTTCCATGCTTAATTGGTACAATCCTTGCCTGGTTAGGCATAGATCTCAAGTGACATAAACATTTGCTGGACAAGAAAGGGAGACAGGTATGCAATTCCAGGTCCCCAAGCACCTTTGAGTAAGATCCTTTGTTCAGGATCCTGAATAATCCTTGAATAGATTGCTCCCGAGTTATTTTGGCTATCAGCTGACTGAGTTCCCAGGCAGACAGCTCAAATGACAGAGCCAGTTTTGGGATTTTTGAGAGCCAAATGTGGTTGTCGTCATAGGGACACAAACAATTTGGGGGGACTTCTCCAGAGTGCTGCAAGCAAAGAGGTTTCCCTTAACCCTTTCTGATTTTTTGCAGTCTCTGTCTCAGGACACAGATCCCCAGTGTTGGTCTCATAATATCTTCAGCTTCTGGTGGTAAGAGACAGAAATTTCCGCCAGTAATATCCAGATGACATTTAACTTTGTATGTGAGAAGCAAATATTGAGGTAACAGCATTCTGTTCCTTAACACTTCTGCAGATACAGCCTCCTTGATGGAAGTACAGAGAGAACAGGTATATCTCTGCACAGCAATAAAAACTTCATGGCTTTTAAAAGGAATAAGATGAATTTATTTAAAAGCAAGCCTACCTCTAAAATTCATTTTCTACTCATGCATGAAGAAATTTCCCTTCTGCTTTCCCTTCCACTCTTTCAGCCTTTGCCACTTCCTTGGATATTTGTGAGATTTGTTGAACCAGAGCCATGCCTATAAATCATACCTTCCCATGGAGAGGGCTTCATGCCAGGGAGATGATAAAAGTGGACCACAAGATGTGCTGCCGTATTCTGGCAGCACTCAGGGGCGGTGGGCAGACCATCAGTACGGGGGTAAGCCAAGCCTCCCCCAGGGAGGGTTTACAGCGAGTTGCCCAACATCTGTTTCCAGCTACTGATAAATTTGGGGAAATCGGTGCAAAAAAGCTGGCAGTGCAAAGGTGACAGTGCAAATCTAGTCCAGTGCTCCCATGTTTCCTTCCCTTCCCTCTCACAAATTCTTTTCTGCCTTCTGTATTGGAGAACAATGTATATGCTGACAGAATGCATAGCTCTATATAAAGCCTGTAATTTTTCCAGAAGGATGGTCAGGACATAACATTTTACATATTTAACAAAATCTGCATTTTATTACTTTATGTCATTGTGCCTGCAATCAGACTGAAGGGTACATTCTGGAAATGTAGAATGAGACGATGGTAAACAAACACTAAACTAACCTTTCTAATTTTACAAACATCTAAGGAGAAAGGAAAACATTGGCATTTCCATAAATCCAGCTTAGCATCAATATATATTCAAAACAGTACACTTCTGTAAAAGCAGTAAGTTCTATTTATATGAATTCTCACATCACATTTCCAGCAGATTTTTTGGGAAGCAAACGAACAACAAAAAAGCATTGTTCTAGGAAGCTGCTTCTTGTGAGAGTCTTTGTTTTCATCTCCTCAATCCTGCCTCCTTCTATTAGAGGAACTTCTAGATCTTGAAAGTTTGGATCCAGATACTGCCTTTCAGAGTGTTTGGCTCTGGCAGTTCAATTTAAGCTGTTGCTTCTTCACTGCCAGGCATTGTTGATTAGACCCAGATTAGACCATTCTCCAACTGCCCCACAGAAGAAACTTCTTACTGTGCACATTATAAGATCACAGATATATTTTGCAAAGTGTAGGCTATAACATGCATTGTATTGCCACATAACTCAAAATTTGTGTCTTACACAAACGATCGACTTAATACTACAGAAAATATAGTTTCAATGCAGAACTGAAATATCTTCCCACACAACTGTGAGGATTTGTGTCGGCTGTCAGAAGCATCAACATTATCTACAAATGTGTTTGGAAGGTCAAGGGTATGAGGGTACTGTGTGAGTCAGTTTTACCTAATACATCCTGATAGCTATTGCTTACTTGCAAGGGATTGCCTTCAACCTTTTCCTTGACAGACATGTGAAATCTTCTTTAGAAGAAGGTGAATTACCTTTCAAAGACAAAACCATATTTCTCCTTTCCTCATGTGCATCTATAAAGCAGTTCACCATTCTTTTGTGGCAAGTCTATAGAATGCTTTGTGTTTCTGGATAACAAATTAAATATTATTTATAAATTTTAACATTTATGTTTATGAATTATAGTACATAAATGCATCAGTCACAGTAGCAATCTCGAAGAATGACGGCTACCACATCACAAAACAGAGATACCACTGTTACTTCTTTATTTCGATTATATGCATATATTGAAACAGATGAAATATTACAGTGGAACCAAGCCATAAAAAACTGTCAGCAAAATTCTTCTCTTTAATGCAGGTAGATTAAACTTATATGTAGATTGTAAATGCTGATTTTTTTTAGTTGTAACTGGTACTTCTCATTGAAAAAAATTAGTTCCCTTTTAAGATAACTGAATTCTTGGGCTGTCTGACAAATTGTAAAGCATACTTTCACAGCTATAAATAAAATCCAAATACATGCATTTTTATCTTTACTGTTATTCAATTATAAAATGCTGCTATACAAATAGCATGAGGTGAGATAAAATATGATATGAAAGACCTTAATTAGGCACTGTTTATTGCATAAGAAATATGACTGGGAAAAAAATCTGTAAAATTTGTTATCTGAAAACACGCACCTTGTTATTGGCAATATTTTCCTGCAGTTTACCTGAGCTGCTAGGTCATATCTGAGGTTATATGTCATTTCTACTTCAGTTCTCAGGTGATTAAACTGGTGCCGTACCTACTCCAGCCACTGAAGATAGGTATTGCAAATAGGTAATATCACAGGATGATAAAGCATTTTTTGATATAACAATGATGCTGAAATACTATTGGAAAATGGTATTAGAAATATAGGTTCGTAATAGTGAAAGAGCTCTTCTGCTACTTGCAGTTTAAAACAGTTCATGATACACCACATATTCTACAGAGAGGAGGTGGTGGGGTGGAGACACAGATATACAGATATATTTCACTTCACTGTCCTTAGAGATCCTCTAGATCTCTAAGGCTAGAGGTGGGATTGCTTTCAGACTCCTAACTTGGGATGTATTTTATGTGTGGACTAAACCAAATACCTTCTGAATCCTGGTACCTTCACCTTCTGTCACATCTACCCCCTATGTTCACACTGCACAATCCCACAGGAGCCCATCATCACCCACCACAAGTTGATAGCTAGTCGAATGCCACCGGCCTGAGATTAAAGCCCCAAAGAGGTGGCCACTCCTGCTCAGTTCAGCTTTTGGCTCCTTGAGTCATTCCATCTCCTGCTCTGCAAGGCAATACCCTCCATTCCAGGAGACCCCTTCCATCACTAGCAGAAGCAGCAAATTATTGCACTGGTAAAAAAAAAGGCTCCATTTATACACAACTCTTAAAGTTTAAAAACAAAGTTGAGGAAATTTGTCTCTTCCCCTTCTCATGCAGCTGAAATAAAGTGATGCAACCAGGGATTTAATAGGAATAACATGGATGCAATATTAGAGGAGGATAACAAAAATTGTCCATGCATAAATCCAAAAACTTCACTTACTTTTTGAGCTTTCCCTAATGTCAAACTGAATAAAGCTAAAATGCTAGTTTCTTCCTTTCTGAAACATTTTAATGCATTTTATGCACAAATTGTTTGCCTGTTCTTTCCTCTAAACTACTAAAAAAGTCTAAATCCAACTGAATATTTCTACTCCGAATGAAACTGCAGGATCTTTCCTGTTTGGATTAGTAGGACTTAGACCTGATATTCTCTAAGAAAGATGATGCAGAAAAGCCACATGTGCCAATTTATCTAAAAATCACCC